CGAAGTTTTAGAAAAATTGTTCTTGCTTTTCCTGATCTGGATCCCAGATCAGGAAGTAAATCTAGTAAATACATAATAATACACATACATAATAAAGTAAGTCTAGTAAATACAATGCTGTATTTGATAAAAGTAGTGGTCCATGGTTTTTACCAAAAACTCATAGTGTAAAACTTTCAATGTGTACTCTAGTCTTTAATCCGTTTTACCTGAGAGGAAAAATGTTACGTCAAGACAGGGCTTAAGCAAGCTAAGATTTACATATCTGATTGTCGTTCTATTATGAAATTCTTATATTAAAAAAAAGTTCCGGAAATAAATGTTAAGTCATGACGTTTCTAGAAAATAAAACAATTGTATTTTAATTTTTCCTGCTAATTTAATTGAACGTGAAATATCTTAGGGTTATCGGAAAACCACAAATCTTGGTGGTATTTTCTAAACTGCTTGGTAAGTAATTATGTTTTCATTGTATTTGTTAGATGCAATCAAGTGGTTTAGGTATGTTTCTTATGATAATCTGGTTATATTAACCAATTTCTGCATATATTTGTTCAAAATAAATCAATATACAGGGTTAGTCTTTAAAAGTGCAAATATTTTTAGGGGTAGTATATTTCGACCTCAGAAACACATATATGAGATTTTTTCACGGAAAAAAAAATAAAAAATTTGGAATTTTTAAAAAAAGAAATTTCAGAAATGTGTAATCTTAAGTTAAAAAACGCAGTTTTTCTTATAATAAGTATAATTCTCTTATATTAATAATGAATTTATTATAAAATATTGATTATATAAAATAAAATAAATAGTGTGACTTGCTTGGGATTATCCACTTCATGTATTAAATTTACGACCTTACAAGCAATATTTAATTATAAAAAATTAAATGTTTTGAAATTATTTAACAGTGTGACTTAGCAAAAAAATTAATACACATATTCATATCTAAGAAAATGTATTCTATACTGGGTATTTCATTTATTTTAAATCAAATTAATAAGGAAACCCTGGTCGATGTAATCGCATAGCTCAGTTCAACCATTATTGGATTTCTCTAAAACATGACATTCAATACCTGTTCGAATAGATATGGTAATGAGACGATATAATGGAGGTATCAAATAATGATTCCCTAGACATTTGACTGGTCGTATTGTGTTATATGTGCTGTTAACAAGAAGATAAACGTAACAGTGTGTAGAGATTCTGTGAGTGTTTTAATAGGAGTTAATCCAGATATTTACACAAGATAGTTGGTTTTTGCAGTATAACTGGTAGTATAACTTAAGGAAGTTAAAAGTTAATCACCTAGATCTTATAGATGTTTTGTGAGTTATAAAGTTATAACTCATCATACAATCTTAAGGCTTTGAAAAAAGCCAGTATCTGAGACAGTTTTAAAGAGGTTAGTTCTCCATCTCCGATATCAGCAGTGGGATTCTGTAAGCTCCGTAGCAAGAAATTTCTTGCCTAGCCTATGTTATTTTATACGATTGATGAGTCACAAGCCAGGAAATATGTTTACAGAATCGCACTGCAGTCGTACCAAAGTTTATGTCACAAATAGTTGTCATCTTGACGTACTCATTGATCAGGTGTTCTGTGGCCCGATTCTGTAAACCAATGACTAAAAAATACAAGGACATATAACACCCGAGACCAAATTGTTACCATGGCTCCAAACAGTGCCGTGGCCATATATTTTTCTTAACTTAGCTGCTTGAAGGGATATTTATATTTTTGATAAACGAAAAAAAAAATCAAAATAATATTTTGACTACGCCTATGGTGTAGGTATCATACTAATCAAAATAATATTTTGACTACGCCTAGGCGTTGGTATCATACTAATAAATTACGAAAAAAACGTATTAAAATGTTAACAAAAGGTACAAAACTAGTATCGACGTATAGCACATATCAAGTACATATAGTATCAGAAAAATAATTACCAAATTCAATAAGAAAACGCTAAAAAGGTGGAGTGGACTGTTTACTTACTTATGGAAACGCAACTCCTGTCTTATCGTTGCTGCTTTTACACTTGAAAGCTGAACCCATCGCCATTGTAATAATGTTTATACAAAGTTCACTACAAACAACAAATTATTGAAAATCGCTAAAATTGTTGCTGTTGACGAGGTGGTGATTCATCCGTAGGCTCCAAAATGATGGCGTCTATCGTAACAAATTCTGCTGCAGCCCGTATATGGGCGTTACATGTCCTTGGATTCTTTAGTCATTGCTGTAAACATATTTCCTGTCTAGTGACTCATCAATCGTATACAAATAGCATAGGCTAGACAGGAAATTTCTTGCTACGGAGGTTACAGAATCCCACTGCTGGTTTTTCCTATTTTTACCACAGAATCTGCATTCCCGTTGATTCTTAGTTTCAATCTACTGATTTATTGAGTAGACACTGTAAAAAACCCCGCGATTCTTGCTCTTCTCCAGATGGTTAGTATATATCATCGTTAAGCTGCTTCTTGTTAATGTTTAGTAGATCGTGAGTAGCTATTTCCTCACCCTTTTTTAGAAGAGTAGGAAAGATCTCATTTACCCCTGCTACTTTATGAAAGGTGTTAATAGCCCATTTCAGTTTCTGTTCTGTAGGCATAGGAGATACATGCGTATCATTAGATATGCTACCTGGGAAGTGTATATGAAGTAGGAGGTTAGCTCTCTTTGCATACTTCTCTCTGTTACTATACAGGGTGTCTCAGAAATAAGTGCAAGTATTTTAAGGGGTGGTATATCTCGATAAAGAAACATATTTTCTCTTTATCGTTTTTCAAATAAGTCCAAGATAAGGAAGTTATTTTACTTTGAAAATTTAAAAAAAAATGATTTTTTGCTAAAATTTTGAGAACCACTGGATCTTTTCTGAATTTTCTTTCTTGTAGATTAAATCTAATACCTTTTTTTTTTTGAGGAGGAGGGGAAAAATCTTGCATAAGACACCGTTGGGTAGTGTCGGATTCCTACCGACTAAAAAAACCCTCCTCGCATTCCATCGCTCTATCCAGCTGGAAACCGCTTGCGCATTACTTCAGCTAATCTAATACCTATGTTGCCATATTATCAAGAAATAAAGTTTTTTAACTAAAAAAATTCGAAAAAATTTTTCAAAAAATTCCGAATTTTCAAAAACTTTTTTTTGCGTAAAAAACCTCATAGGCGTGTTTCTGGGGTTGAACTATATTACCAGTTAAAATATTTGCACTTATTTCCGGGACACCATGTATATAATTTCAAAACTTAATGATGAAAGGTTTTTTTGTTGAACAAAATATCGAATTTTGCTATTTGGACACGATAATTTTAATACAACCCTCGTAAAAACAAAATTCTTTGACATTTTAAATTTTTCCTTATATAAAAAAATATATAAAGAGGTGGTAATTTATATTACGTCTTAAATATATTTATATAAGGATTATGCTTTCAACCTAGAAATCCCCTTATAAGTAAGTACCTAATGCTAAAGTGTGTTTGTTAATCGTTTAAGTGGTTACAGTAATTTAAAATAAACATTTAGTAATTAATATAAAATATAACGAGCTTAGTGAAAAAGCTCTTACAAATACTGTAGCGCCATCTTGTCATGGCTTTCAGAAGTAGAGTACGAAATGCTGTAGAATACTCTTATCTAATGTTTAAAACAATCCTTTAAATATTATCATTTATACACTAAAATATCTTTATAATAATTTAGTATTTCTCGAAATTAATGATATATCTATAAGTATAATTTTAATGTTTATTTATTTTTTGCTTGCTCCTACTGGAATATAGAGTGAAATATTAAAAACTTTTCCTATTTGGTAAATTTGTATTTAAATAAAGATCTATTGGGAAATCAGTAGTTCTCATATTTACATATATTATTTTTATATTTGGATATATCGAAAATTCCCTAACTAATAATACTAAACAACAATATTTTTTAAAGATTCATTATCTATAATTATCTTATTTCTTTATGTTCAGTTGTGAGTAGAAACAAATGTTTATATACACTATACTTCAAAAAAACCGCAACGGAATTTTTTTTTTGTCTTTTTAAATTGTAGTCCAATGTTCATGAATTTTTTAGCAGAATATATACACGGTGATTCACAGACATGGCACGTTTGACGTTTATGGGAAACAAAATTGCAAATTTGGATTTTTACATAAAGACCTGCTAGATATCTGTCTAATTATTTTCAGCATTACAGTATTGCCGCTTCATACTAAAATTGGTAGCATCTTTGCTATTTTAAATGGAACACCCGGTATATTATTACATTTTTCGTAACTACTTCTATATCTCCAAAAAAAAAATCTATTATACTAACCTATACCAATCTCTAATAGTTTTCGAGATAAAAAAAAATAAAATATGTGTAAAATTGTCAAAAACATGATCTTGAATAAGCATTGGTTAATTAATAAATTTGTCATATTGAAAGCTAAAATTTGGTTTATAGATATATGACATATTCGACCTGTCTAAATGAACTGATTGGATATCAAACAGGGAGGTAAAAAAAAATATTTTCGTTTGTGATAAAATCGTTCAAATTATTCTTAAGTATTTTAAATTCAAGCCTATGTATATTATTTAAAAAACTCGAAACCTAAATAAAATTGCTTTTCAACGATTTATCAGGTTTCTATTCCTAAACCTTTTATGAAAAAAACAAGAATAAAACTGAAAACTTTTAACTTATTAAATAATACATTTTTCACAACACATACGTATAGCATAGAACTTTTTCAGAACGCTGGGCCACCCTGTATACTCATGGTGACTTCATACAATATTTGGTATGAAAATTGTCTTCTTAATAATTTATATAGTAGTTTTTTATTAGTACATGATAAATACAATCTAACCACAGGATAAATTTAATTCAACCAATAAAATTTTTAAATAGGTACTTTTTTAATAATGTTAATTACACTGTGACTCACTAAAAAACTACTAAAAACATCACGACATTTTTTTTAAAATATTTATTGTAAACGTATTTATAATTTTTGTTCTTATTCTATTTTAAAATCACAGGTACTATATACATACATATCGTTGTATAAAAAAAGGCAGTACTTATAATAAGTATTTTTGTGTTATTTTCCTATTAATATACAAAGTTTTTCTACCAGTTTTGATCTTAATTTTAGGTCCCTTTCTGTGCTTTTGATTGATTTGAAGTCTTTCCATTTTTCGTTCACAGTGGGATTCTTTGGACCCCAATTTGTATGTTCAAACATCGATTTGAATACCTAAAAAAACAGTTAAAAATATATGCTATGTAATATTTGGAAGGGTATTTAAATTTATATATTAATTTATTATTTCAAAACAAACTCCACAATTTATTATGGAGAATAAATCCATATTATGTTTTTACTGAGATAAACATGTAGGTATGTACCTACGTTTCAAGTAATTTTTCCGCTATGTTTGTTTAGATAAAATAAAAAATTTAGGTCTAATGTTTTATTATAAATTACGTTATGTTATGCAAAATTATATAATTAATTACCTTCTTGATTGGAACGTAATTTTTCCATCTTAGTTTAATGAATTCGTAAGTAAACCATAAAATTGGTTGGACAACTCCAAAGGCCAGTAAAATCCATCCCCAAACTACAAAAGAATTAAAACCTATTAAATACAGGGTGAGAGAAAGGTTTTTTTGCGAAAAAAAATTGCAAATTTCAAATTTTTTGAAAAAAATTTTGGAAATTATTTTAGTTTTTAGTTAAAAACCATAATTTGTTGATAACATGGCAACATAGGTCGTAGATTCAACTTACAAGAAAGAAGATCCAGGAAAGATCAAGTGGTTCTCAAAATTTTAGAAACAAATCATTTTTTTGCAAATTTTCAAGGTTCTTAACTCAATTATTTTGGATTTATTTATTTTATTAAGAGAAAATATGTTTCTTTTATCAAGATCTACCAGCCCTGAAAATATTTTCACTTATTTAAGACTCACCCTGTATAGAGGGTGAATCCAACACAGAGTAAAAATTCATGTCTATTATTTAATTTGTTTTAAGAATTATAGAAAAATATTTAATAGACAAGGTTTTAGGGAATATTAAAATATACAGTTTATAATTATTATTTATTAAGTATACAGGGTGCTTCAAAAAGTTTGAAGCATATAAATTATTCCTTTTTAAATATATCATTGTATTTTTTAATTTATTTTTATATTCTACCCTTAAGAATATATAAACAAGGATTCTACGTAAAATTCTATATACCTTTTTAATGTAGTACCTACCTAAAACGAGCATCTAGTGTTTGCAATAGTTCAATTTATTGAATATACAGAGTGAGTTTTAAACAAGTGCACATATTTTTAGGGCACACATTATATAACAAAAATTTTGATTTTTTTTATTTTATTTTAATTTCTTGTTAAAAGTACAGTACTGAAAATATGTGCACTTATTTTTGACTCCCCCTGTATACATTCCAAATGGTAAAACATTGCTAGTAGCTCTATTATATTATTTTTTAAGTTGGGAACTCAGATTTGGTAGGAAAGTTTTGTAGAGATGAAGAAGGTAACTAGGTAAAGATATTTGAGTTAGATGCTACAGCGTGTTCAAAATAAATTGGAACTTAAATGCTATATTGACTAAATAATCAAGAAACTAAGAAATACTTACCTATGATATCATTTGGATATAGACTGCCTTCATATGTTAGTGGCTCAATCGTTACAAGAAAATATACAAAAACCCCAATCATCACGACAGGTACTATAACGCACCAGCATATCCTCCAGTACAAACCTGGTTTTTTATTGGTCATAAAAGTGATATCCAGGCATATATTTTCCAGACCTAAAAAAGTATATTAGAATACTTTTAAGTTTTTCTTTGATTGACTTACCGTACCACCAAATGAGTGCTACAACTTCTAATATGTTCAGTACGTAAAATATGAAAGTTCCACCAAAAAAGTCGACCATGGTAAATATCCATTGCCCTCCCTGAAAAAAATAAACGGAGATATACAGGGTGAATCGAGATTAATGGAAAGTTACAGGTTTAGGTATATTCACACGTGTCAATAACGTCCCGTTTCGTCAAATAATAGTCTCAATAGCGATAAAAAATTATATCGTTGCGCAGATATTTTAGTAATAATAAATAAAATAAATATTATAGTATACCGGCTGCGTCTCAAAAGTGGCTCAACCTTATAACTTTTTTGTATATATTTCTTGAGATAAAAAAACGAGATTTTTTATGTTAGTCTAAATTAAGATTGATTGACGCATTCAGTTGTTTTTGATCACTTCCTGTTTCACCGGAAATGGCTACAATTTTTGATTTTTAAATGTGACCCTCGGTCACTCAGTATTTTTACTTTATTCGATAGAAAATTATACTCTAAATCGAATTACATATGTCACTTTTTGACATTTTCACTTAAAAAAATATCGTATTTTAAATTTTAATCTAGAGTGCCATGGCTGTGTTAGAAACTCTAATTTTTGATCAAGGAGCCTTGGAAAAATAGATTTGGACGTCTAATCTTTTTCGTGTCTTGTCCTGGTCGGTTAAAATATGCCTAAACTGTAATTTTAACCTCATACCTCAATTTTTTTCAAATGGAACTAGGGTGGCTCATTAGCATATTTGGAAAAAGCATTTTTTACGAACAATTTGGTACAACACACTTGGTATTTCGAGTTAAATTGCCGTTACGAACCGCATATTACAGTTTCAAATAAACCATATTCGAAAATGTCTAAAGTTGACATAAGATATTATGTCATTCTATTCAGAGTGTCATTTTCTATCGAATAAAGTAAAAAATACCGAGAATGTCATTTAAAAATCAAAAGTTGGTGTACTTGTGGTGAAACAGGAAGTTACTGAAAGCAACTGAATACGTCAATTTTTATGTGAAAAAAAAAAGTTATAGGGGTGAGACACTTTTGAAACGCACCCGGTATAAGTAAAATAAATAAAGACAATGAGAGTCCGAAGTACTTTTAGTTCTAATAGCTTCAAAATATGACTTGTACCAAGAATTGATTACCAGATCCTCTAACAGCTTCTGAAATACTTATTTTTTTTTCTTAGAGCCTATCTTATAGAACACACTGCATATAGAGCAAAATTTAAGATTGCTTACCGGTGTTATGTAAACTAGACCAACTATAAATCCTAGCACAGCTGTTCCAAGAGACACGTGCCATATTTTCAGATGAGGGAAAGCATCCATTATGACAGTGAACGCACATCCTTGTAGTGCTATCAAACTACCAACACCCAGTATAAAAAGCATTGAAAAGAACAGAATTGCAAACAACTAAAACAAAACAAAAATAGTTAAGAGCTATGTTAAGTCCCCTTTTGTAAAAGAAAGACATAATATGTGACTATTTATTTCGGACTTTTTTGGAGTCTTTTAGCGTCTATACTCATTGATTCAAAATCTTGATAAATTTATAATTCATTATTTTTAATAGGTAATATATAATTCATAATTTAAATAGAACTTACCCATGGTACTACCTCAAACCTTGCTATGGCTTCTGGATATGATATGAAGGCTAATCCAGTTCCTCCTGACTTGATGACTTCACTAACGTCGACTTGCATTTTGAAGGCCAGGTTGCCTAGTATTCCAAATATTATGGTTCCAGCCAGAAGAGATGTGAAAGTGTCTAGAGTTGTAACAACCATGGCATCTCTGCAAAAGATAATCTTAATATGAAATAATATGTTAATTGTAAGTTAGCAAATAAATATAAAAACTGTCTTAAGTGCCGTTAAACGATGTGGGTATTTGGACTGGTCAACGCTTGGGAAATTCTGCTTACGCGTATTAATCCAGATAAAATATCTTACAGCATCTATGATACTTTGTAATAATATTTTTAAACTCACCGATGGACATTGTGACGGAAATTATTGTATGATGCATACATGGATACAGATCCAAATCCAATATTTAAGGAGAAGAAACACTGTGTAACAGCGGCGTACCACACCTACAAAAAGAAAATCACATTTTTTTGAATCTCCTGAACCTCTTCCTAGTAAAATAAAATTACACTAAATCACCACAATACACCAAAACACTTTTACTTTTACACTGGACGCGCGTTTCGCTAACCATGTTAGCATCATCAGCAGATGATTATATATTCAGTTTATAATCATCTGCTGATGATGCTAACATGGTTAGCGAAACGCGCGTCCAGTGTAAAAGTAAAAGTGTTTTGGTGTATTGTGGTGATTTAGTGTAATTTTATTTTGCTGTGTAACACCAAAGGTTCCAACCCTCAACTGTGATCTTCCTAGTAAGCTACCTAGACTTCAATAAAAATTAGAGTTCAGTAATTAGTAGTAGTGGGAACTATCGAATGTATACTATCGAAACATTCGATAGTTGCAATTCATTCGAATAATTCGATAGTTAGTAAGAAAACATTCGTTGAAAACTATTCGAATAAAAATTATCGAATAGATCCGTCATCTGCCTTGAAATATTGTATGCCTTGAAATATTGATTTTTAATGTTTTTAAGCAAAGACTGGTTTAATAAATAATAATAACAGTAATAATTTGTTATACCTATTAACAACAAAATTTAAAATCATTTAATATAAATATTTTTTTAAGTAGTAGCAAAATATAAACAACAAATTAGATGTGAAAATTATTTATATTAGATCCTATTTAAAAATAATATACTCTCTAAATTTTTTGGGGGGCAACGTTGGTTTATTAAATAATAATAATAATTACAGAACTAATTTGTTATATTAACAACAAATTTTAAAATCATGAAATATAAACATTTATTAATTTTCAAAGCATACAATGTAATGGAAGAAAAATATAAATAAAAAATTAGAAATCAAAATTATTTATATTAAGTGCTTTATATTACTGTTGAATAATTATATTTACTTTTACTGGCATTTACTTTAAAAAATAAATGAAATATTTCTTCGCAAAAAACTACATGTAAGAGAATTAGCATAAACAAAATACAAACATCGATAACTTTTTTTTTAAATTGGCACGTGCAAAACTTTCATTTTAATTTTCTCACCCCATAGTTTGAGTTCAATAACCATTTACTTAACCACATTACTTAAATATGATTATTAAGTTCAACTAATTCATATTATTAAAACATCTAAAATACAAATATGTATTTTTAAAATTAATTGTAAGTTCATCTCATCTCTCTTAAAAATTGTTACTTCTCAAAATTTCCCATTAAAAAATAGACCATATATCATATAAAATTAAATAATTGAAAGATCGGACTACGGAAAACCACACAAATTGTCGGAAAAATTTTGACCACCTGCACATGCACACAATCGTCAATAAATAAAATTAAAAAATAACTACTATTTTAGTATTTTAACTATTTTAATAAACGCAAAAATAGCACAGTATTTATACGGCGAAGTTATAAAAATTTGGAAGAACTAATAATGCACTGACGCATACAAAAATCAAACGAATACTAAATTTCATTTATCAAAAGCATTCGATAGTCGTGGCTCAACGATAACCATTTAGTCGCACGGCGAGGTTGTCACATATGCTTTAGTATACAAATGAATGAATGATTTTATTCGAATAAAACCATTCGATAGTTGAAATCATTCATTCATTAAACATTCGATAGTCTAATTCATTCGATAGTTCCCATCGCTAGTATCTAGTATACAGGGTGATCTGAAGTGTATTCCGGAAACTTCGATAGAATATTCTGCAGATAAAAATAAGTAAAAAAGTTCGTATAAATGTATGTCGTAAAATGTTTAGTTTCGGAGATACAGGGTGTAGAAGTTTCATTTTTCTTTCTATTTTTACCAAATAATATCTGAAATAACGTCAATATTTGGATGAAAATTGGTGTCTGGGAGATTTTTGACATGAGAGAGTTGATTTTGAAATCAATGTGACTCTTGTTCATACAGGGTGCCACTTACATATGTGTTCTAACTGCTTTGAAGTGTCACAAATTTTCGTCCCTACCTGTATAAAACTACTGGGTGAAAAAATATACATATCCGTGATTTTTGACGTAAAAAATGTCTCATAGTAAAAATCACTACGAACAACTGTTCTCGAGATATTTAAAATGGAAATAGTCAATACATGTCATTATTGACAAAAAAATAAACATGTCGAGTAGATAGTTATTTGACTGACATGATAAATTTGGGAATTATTATTTTTTTAAATTAATCATAAACTTTTCTTCGAAAAAATGATGATAAAACAGTTTCTGTTGAACTTTTGGCACAAAAACATTTCAAATTTATGATTTCACTCTAATAACTATTTAGTCAACATGTTTAATTTATGTCAATGATGACAGGTATTCATAATTTCGATTCCAAATATCTCGAGAACAATTATTAGTTATTAGTATTTTTTTTTATTTTTTACTTAGCATTTTATACAGATAGGGACGAAAAGTTATTACTCTTAAAACTAGTTAAAAAATATGTAGGTGGCGCCCTCTACAGTTAGGAGTCATACTGACATCAAAATCAAATTGCTCATGTCAAAAAACTTCATCCAAATATTGACGTTACTTCAGAAATTATTTAGAAAAAATCGAAATAAAAATGAAACTTCTACACCCTGTATCTCCGAAACAAAGCATTTTAGAACATACATTTATACGATCTTTTTGACTGCTGATCTGCAGGATATGCTGCGGAAGTTTCCGAAATACAGTTCAGACCACCCTGTATATTTTTTTAAATAATTATGCGTGAAAAGATTTTTACTCTTGTAGAATTATTAAAAATCTACTGTTATATTACACATACCTTCGCACTTAACAGCATTTCCCATTTAGGATTTATAAAATACAGTATTCCTGTAGCTGCTCCCTCTAACGTCACTGCCCGCACCAAGAGTGACACAAGGATGACGTATGGAAACAATGCTAAAAAATACGAGGCCTTTCCAGAACTCTGTATGCCTTTGGCGCAAATTGCAAACGTGATTAGCCAAGATACCAGTAGGCATAGAGTTAGACGCCATTCTGGTAGGCCTATACCATCTGATATGTCCATGTATTCTTTTAGAACTTCTACTCTAAAAGAAAAAACACTCTTTAATTTTTGAAATAAATTCATGTTAATTTTTAAGATTTTTAAAGATAAGTTCGTGTCTTTATATTAATTTGTCTGATATTCCATAAGTTATTATAATTACATGGATTGAGAATATGGAATTGGTAAAATGACAAATCAAAAATGAATCAATGATGGTACTAAAATAATTTCGTGTGTTTATTTAATGTACTTTAGTCTTAATGTAATCTACATTAAAGAATTGTCAGCTCATAAAAAATGAAATAAGATTTTTACTTCCTTTTGTAATAACTGTTGATGTTGATCTTTCTAACACCGCATTTTAGTGTTTTAAGTTGTTTTAACGATTATTAACCTTCAGCATATTTTTTGTTGTGAAAAAATTATAATTTTTTGTCGGTAAATAAAAGTATTCCATATTTCTTGCTCTTGGATCATATCTATGGCTCTATAAAAGCCTAAAAGGCTCATGGCTTGATTGGCTATCTTTCTCCATTTGTTTCTGTCCTTCGCCTTTATTCTCCACCCATCTACTCTTATCCTTCTCAAGTCCTCTTCAACATCCTTTTTCCGTCTGGTTCTCGGTCTACCCCTCCTTCTCTTTCCACCTATTTCACGTTTCATTATCATACTAGAAACTTTTGCTTCAACCATTCTTTGAATGTGTCCCAGCCATCTCAGTCTTTGTGCCCTTGCTACTCCCGTTATACTCGGTGCCCGATATAGTTGCTTTAATTCTTCATTTGTTCTTCTGGTCCATATTCTTTCTATCTTCTTTCCTCCAAAAATCTTCCTCAGTATTTTTCTTGCCCAAATCTCTAGCCTCGAACTTTCCGTTGCATTGAACGTCCAAGTTTCACATGCATACAGCAATATTTGTCGTATCATTGTTTGGTACATTCTGATTTTTAAAATTCTAGAGACGTTTTTACTCTTAATAATTTTCTGTAGTGCGCTAACACATCCATGAAGAACATGAAGGCACCCTGTGTGATATTATTCAAAGAGGACTCCGCATCGCTGAGAGATGGTGCAGGACTGTCGGGCTGAGTATTAACTCAGATAAAACCGCAGTAGTGCCATTCACCAGAAAGCGAAGTTTGAAAAACTTGAAAAGAATCCATCTAGATGGAAAGGAAATACTGCCATCACAGGAAGTGAAATATCTGGGAATAACCCTGGATAGTAAACTTCTCTGAAACAGGCATATTAAGAACATTACCAGCAAAGCCACAAAGGCTCTCATGATATGCAGAAGACTGGCGGGAAATAGGTGGGGCTGCGCCCCTAACATTTTGCGCTGGATGTATACCATGATAGTAAGACCCATGATTACTTATGGAGCAGTTGCTTGGTATACAAAACTAGAGCAACGTACAGCAACGCAAAACCTGTTCAAAGTACAGAGACTGGCATGTATCTACATCACAGGTGCCATGAGATCATGTCCAACAGCAGCAATGGAGGCCATTCTAGGCCTAACACCACTGCACATTGTCGTCGGTAGTTATGCCAATGCGACAATGATCAGAATGGTCATTGACGGAAACAGTACTGGGAGAATTTTCAGGTCAGGGGCTTGGAACACCCTCAAAAAGAAAATTCCACTTCTTCAACTCCCAGTGGATGACATACCAAGAATTTATAATTTTGAGAAGAGACACCTCACTGTAGTATTGAGTAATAAAAAGGATTGGGGAAGAAAAAAACGCTTACTCAGCATATAAAAGACCATACCATCACGTGGTATACTGATGCTTCCAAAACCAAAGCAGGGACAGGGTTAGGAGTATTTGGGCCGAAAACTAAATACTCCGAACCAATGGGCACCTACCCCAGTATCCTTCAGGCAGAAATTTACGCTATCGAAAGATGCGTACAATTTATCTAAGATAGGAACTATCGAAAACAGGAAATTGCCATCCTATCCGATAGTTAAGCAGCACTTAACGTTATCAACTCAGTAACCATCAATTCGAAGTTGGTCAAAGAATGCCTAGAAAAAGCTCAACAAATTAGGCAAAGAAAATGAAGTCCCCCTACTCTGGGTGCCTGCTCACCAAGTGATAGAATGCAATGAAAAAGAAAATTATCTAGCTAGAAAACGAGCGAACACTCCACTAACTGGACCAGAACCGTTCTGTTTTCCAAATGGGAACCAACTGACAGCGGAACTGAAGAATCTGGAAGACTCCATCCGTAACATGGAATGGGTGTCCTCCAACGGTCTAAGACACTCGAAAAAGTTCCTCCGAACTTACGACCGAGAAAAATCAAAGGTTTTTCTTGATTTAAGTAAAAACAATCTTCGGATTGTCACGGGGTTTCTAACAGGACACTGTCTCCTCAACGAACACCTCAGTAGGCTGAAGCAGAGAAACAGTGCAGATTTTGTGGGAAAAATGGGGAAACACCAGAACACGTTATCACTGAGTGCGCCGAGACGAGGACCAATTGTGCCATGAACTTTGGTACGGCTGATGTCGAGGATGGAGAGCTGGCCTCTGTGGAGCCGTCTCAGATACTCGCTTTTGTTAAAGCCCTGAGACTGTATGATGAGTTATAACTCGTTATAATTCAAGAAAGGGGAACACACAATAGATCTATAAGGTCGCTGTGATTAACTCCCCTCCTAAACATTCTACATTCTACAATACATCTATTTCCTGCCATTATTTTTGCCATAATTTTCTTGGTTAATGGATCATACCATATATATTTTTTGGATTAGGAATATGAGAGATACTTTTCACTTACCTGAAATATAATTCAGCAGAACTTATCTCACTCCCAGTCTGGCTTCCGGCAGATTCATTGGATTTCGAAGGAATGCAGGTAATGTTGTTTTCATTTATCCAACTGACATTGTCCCAAGATGGATTACAAGTGGCCCAAGGCAAATCAGCAGTAAATGAATTGATGAAATAGAACAATGTTATGGCCATTAGAGAACAATAGTAAGTAGCAACGCATATCGTTCCAATCAGTTGTCCAAATCCAATACCTTAAAATGTAGTGTGTCTAAAGATACAGGGTGTTTCATATAAAAATGTGCCATCTCTCGTGGGGATGTTCCTCACGTAAAAATAACATTTATTTTTTATATCAAAATAGGTCCGATTCTGGTTTGTTTCGTAGCTGCAGCTTCCTTTAACTTCCTATATAAGGTCTTTATTCTTTTTCGATTTACTATAATTTTCTTCCAAGTGCTTTTAGCGATTAGAATGAAATTTTGAGGGTAAAAGTTACTATAAGCAAGACATATTTTAATGATAAAAAAGTGTCGACAGGTTCACCAGGGACGTGTATATTAGGGTGGAGCGACCATATAGGTGAGAATTTTTTTGTTTTCGAAAATTAAGTTTCCTGACCGGACAATAGCTGTGATATGAAAAAATAATGCGTCACGTATTTTTGTTTTCTTTTTTTAATTTCCCCCTCCACCACCACAGTCAACTTAAAAATTTCAGATTTTTTTTTGTTGAAAATGATATCGCCTGAGTATGAGAAAGCTTTATTATGGAAAAAGTAGTATTTTTTGTATATAAACTTTTTTTCTACGACTCCCCCCTCCACCGCCACAGCCAATTTAAAAAAAGTCGGATTGTTTTAAAGTGATAATGCTTGAGTGTCCAATAACTTTCTACTCAAAAAGGTATGTATTTTGAATGCACTATTTTTTTTTGTGATTATCTCCATGAGGCAAAGTAATAAAAGATGAATTTTTAAGAAAATATTTGTATTACAGAAAAAACTAATTGAAAAATAAGACAAAACAAAATAAAATAATAACATAAGCTTAAAGAACAATTATTTGGTTTTAAAATTCTTTTTTGATTCAAATTTAGGCATCAATGTTCTTGAATTTAGTTTGCTTCTTATGACTCCATCCCTCCTCTCGTAGCCGCAAACCGTAATGGATGCTTCAGTTACCACCTTTAATGCCCGTTCTACTGCTTGGGTATGACAAGAGTAATTTCTGATGTGCTAAAGATGAATCTTCTGGGTTTTCTATCACTTCTTTTATTAGTTCTACGGTCAGCTTTCTGGTTACAGAGGGTTCATTATAACGCAAACTTTGTCATTCAATTAAATCATAGTAGTCGTCAGCGTCAAATTTTAAACCGGATTATTAAAAAATCGAGAATTCTTCTCAGAATCTTCTGAGAATTCTTCTCAGAATGGTACCAAATTCTGATTAGGATTTGACGTAGCTACGTATAGGCGCAAAATTCTGTTTACTGTAGTCAACCAGCGAGAGTGCACTAATTTTCCAGAATCACGTTTTGACAGCCCTTCAGAGCAATTTCCACTTCTTATTAAAACACACATGTCATATAAATATCTTGGTTCTGTGCTTAATTCCATATTCGGTAACACAAAGGCTATTTTGGAAAATTTTACAATGGGCAGTTTTTTACAGCTACTTTAAAAGTAGGACCTCTAAATGCCCTGGGACCAGATGTTTCACCGTCAAGATGTAATAAAAGATGTCGCAACGGAAGCTCGTTAGCATGCAACATGCAAACAAACCATTGAAGAGGACGATCCAGTTTTCTTTCTAATCTGGTTATTATTCCGTTCTCATTTCCGACTTTCGTATTAGTTCCATCACAACCGATGACCTACAGATCGTCCAGTGCAATAGAATGTCTTCAAAAATTGAATCATAGCTTCTAATATACTTGAAGAAGATCCAGAAGTATATGTGACCAATATATTTTGATCTGGATTCTTCTACCAACACAACATGTTCTTCTACTATTGCCCTTTTTCTGTTATCTGTAAAAGTGGGCGTCTTGTCTTTTCGCCCATAAAAGTCGGTCCTAAAGGTCATTATATTTTATAGGTAATGGCACAAACTATTTTGAAATAAAAAGTATACTATTTTACGGGCAAAAACGCAATAAGTTTTAAAGTGAAAGAGAAACGTATTATTTATTTATTTATTTTTAAACTACCTGAGCTTGCAAAATACTTGTCTTACTAAAACAAACATTTTTTGTAAATGATTTTTCTTCGTTAATGTTTATTTTTCACCACCACAGCGCGAAAATGTGAAAAATAAAAGTGAATGGGTTGGGGCGGTGGAAGGGGGTGTCGAAAAATTTCCGTTTTAATTTTTAAATGATTATTTTAAAGTTCTCCGTACTTTACAGAGTCATGCGTACTGAATATATCAAATTCATTTTTTCGCTCCACCCTAGTGTATATGGGCCACTGACTTTTTTTCGAAATCGACAAAATATGCACAATTTAGTTAACAAAAGAAAAAAAGTCAGTGGCGCACATGTTTTTTTTAGAACAATATTCCAGCGATAATCAATATGCACGTCAATGATGAATATGACAACACATTTTTAATTATGGATAGGAAGATATTATAAAAAAATGAAAAAAACCCTGTAACGATGAAACAAAGCAGAGTCGGACAGGTAAGAGAATATATGTTGATATAAAAAAATAAATCTTATTTTTAATAAATAATAATAAATAACGCTTTATTGTACAAAGCCAAAATAGCTTCATCGACTAAGCATTTACAAACCAAGCGAAAGCACAAAAAATACACAAATAATAAAAAATATCATACAATACAAATCATACAATTAAAAAAAAAATACGTCATTAAAATTACAAATAGAACATACATGAACATTGCAGAACACAAAAAAGGCACATCAATAAAATTTTACAATAGGAAAATTGTATTTTATTTATTGTATTTTATTTTAAAGAAATGCTGGCAGTGAGTTCTACTTTTCAGTCCCAATAAATATCGAACTGCTTCTCTTTTGAAAATACGATCAAATTTTGTTGCGCAGCGCGAGGAATCTGGCACACGCTTTTTGAAACGCCCTGTATATGTATATTATTTTGTTAATAACATTTGTAATGTATTGTGTCTTACCTTTTAGACCTAAAGCTAAACTTTCAAACATTTTCACGTTTCCTCTGTTTACAAACTGGCCCATGCAAGCTTCCAAATAGTACATGGGTCTGCCCATGAACATCAGTACTAAAATATAAGGAATAAGGAATGCTCCACCGCCATTTTCGTACGCTACAAATGGAAACCTCCATATATTTCCAAGACCCACGTTCATGGCAATGCAGGACAGGAGAAATTCGATGGGGTTGTCCCACTGGACTCGATTTTCTTCGTTGGATTCTTCGTTTTCAGTGTTTTCCTTAAATAATGGAACAAAATAAAATTGTTTTATAAGTATTATTGTTTTATTATTATTTATTCTACAGTTGGTTTTGTCCAGAGGTTGTAGATTTACGGCTATTATATCAAAATAAAAAAAAAAAATAGTGACATTAGAATTTAGAATTTAGGATGAGTGGGAGGGGGGTTAATCGCTTCGACCTTACAGATCCATTGTGTCCCCCTTTCTTGAATCATAACTCATCATACAGTCCCAGGGCTTTGACAAAAGCCAGTATCTGGGACGGTTTTATAGAGGGTAGTTCTCCATCTCCAATATCAGTCGTACCAAAATTCATGGCACGAATGGTTGTCGTCTCGGCGCACTCAGTGATGAGGTGTACTGGTGTTTCACCATCTTCCCCACAGAATCTGCATTCGCCGTTTCTTCTTAGTTTCAATTTACTGAGGTGTTCATTGAGGAGACAGTGTCCTGTCAAAAACCCCGTGACAATCCGAAGATTGTTCTTACTCAGACCCAGGAAGATCTGTGATTTTTCTTGATCATACGCCCTCAGAAACTTCTTCGAGTGTCTTAGACCATTGCAAGATCTCCACTCCAGGTTGCGGATGGAATCCTCCAAGTTCTTGAGCTCCGCCTTGAGTTGGTTACCACTTGGAAAGCAGAACGGTTCTGGTCCAGTTAGTGGAGTGTTCGCTCCTTTCCTAGCTAGATTATTTGCTTTTTCATTGCCTTCTATCCCTTGGTGAGCAGGCACCCAGTGTAGGAGGACTTTGTTTTCTTTGCCTAATTTATTCAGCTTCTCTATGCATTCTTTGACCAATTTCGAATTGATTGATACTGAGTTGATCGCCTTTAACGCTGCTTGACTATCAGATAAGATGGCTATTTCTTGTTTCCGATAGTTCCTATCTAAGATAAGTTGTACGCATCTCTCGATAGCGTAGATTTCTGCCTGTAGGATACTAGAGTAAGTGCCCATTGGTTCGGAGTAATTAGCTCTCGGCCCAAACACTCCGATCCCTGTTCCCGTATTGGTTTTGGAAGCTAGAGAATAGTGACATTATTGCGAAGTCCAGATAAAACTGTAAAATGTTACTTTAAGGTAGCTTAAGGTGCTTACTATTCGGGAGACATAAAGAAATAACTTTTCACTGGCATGTAACTATAGATACTGGTCGAGTCTTAAATAAGTCCAAATATTTTTGGGGCTGTTAGGTCTCGACGAAAGAAACATATTTTCTCTTTACCGTTTTCCAAATATGTCCAAAATATCCGAGATATGTTACTTTGAAAATTAAAAAAATGATATTTTGCTAAAATTTTGAGAACCACTGGATCTTCTCTGGATTTTCTTTCTTGTAAATTTAAACTACCTATGTTGCCATATCATCAAGATATTATGTTTTTAACTAAATATTCAAAAAAGATTTTTCAAAAAATTCCAAATTTAAAACAAAAAATCGCGAAAAAAATCTCATTACTACTCTCGTATTTTTGGGGTAGAAATATACTACACTTAAAATTATTTGCACTTATTTAAGACTCATCCCGTATAATATACGTTACTTTGTAGTAAGATAATCAGTTATGAACTTCGCTAAGAACTAACTAATTGTATATTATGTTCTTGCCTAGGTATTTAAAAAATATTTTTTTATTATACAGGGTGTCCCAGAAATAAGTGCAAGTATTTTAAGGGGTGGTAGATCTCGATAAAAGAAATATATTTTCTCTTTATCGGTTTTCAAATAAGTATAAAATAACGGAGTTATTTTACTTTGAAAATTTCCAAAAAAAATAATTTTTTGCTAAAATTTTGAGAACCACTGGATCTTTTCTGGATATTCTTTCTTGTAAATTTAATCTAATACCTATGTTGCCATATTATCAAGAAATTATGTTTTTTAACTAAAAACTAAAAAAATTTCCAAAAAATTTCGAATTTTCAAATTTTTTTTCCGCGAAAAAGACCTCATAGGCGTGTTTCTGGGGTTGAAATATACTACCAGTTAAACTACTTGCATTTATTTCTTGGACACTCTGTATGTTTTATTATTATTATTGACTTGGAAAAACTAATGCTAAAAGAAGTTCCAAAAAAATTAAACGAATATAATTAAAGAATTAATTAAGAACAAAAATAAAATGAATATAATATTTCGAATATCTATACAAGTTGCAGCTATCCTTGTTTAATAAAATTGTAAGACCATAACATATGAACAATGTATTAATTTGTAAAGATATACTTCAAAAGAATACCTATTTTTACCCAATTATCTGTCGTCATTTAGAAGCCAGATATAATTTATATGTAATCATTAAAATAGAAATATTGGTTTGTTGTTTTCCTGTTTATAAATAACTTAATAATTGTATGTCAGTGCAGTTATATTGCTGCGATTTATTTTTTAACTTCGTTTCAACATTGATCATAAAATTTTTGCGTGTTTATGTTGTGCCTTGTTTAATGATAGATACTATTAAGCTTTAAACTAATAAATGTATATTAATAAATGTTTGTATAAAAAAACGGTGTACGTCAAGTTGACTTTGAAATGACGATCGATGACATTCATCTTATAATTTTGGGAGTAAAATAACAGCAATCTCTATTTCCAGACCAACTCTAGCTAAGTTAGCTAAATATGATAGATTGTAAATATTTGTTCCTTTCCTATTAATAGGTATTTTTTAGTAAGTATTAAAATTATCAAGTTTAGTACAATAAAATCTCCAAGTGGTAACCAACTCAAGGCGGAACTCAAGAACTTGGAAGATTCCATCCGCAACCTGGAATGGAAATCTTGCAACGGTCTAAGACACTCGAAGAAGTTTCTGAGAGCTTATGATCAAGAAAAATCACAGATCTTCCTGGGTTTAAGTAAGAACAATCTTCGGATTGTCACGGGGTTTTTAACAGGACACTGTCTCCTCAATGAACACCTCAGTAGATTGAAACTAAGAAGAAACGGCGAATGCAGTTTCTGTGGGGAAGATGGGGAAACACCAGTACACCTCATCACTGAGTGCGCCGAGACGACAACCATTCGTGCCATGAATTTTGGTACGACTGATATTGGAGATGGAGAACTACCCTCTATAAAACCGTCCCAGATACTGGCTTTTGTCAAAGCCCTGGGACTGTATGATGAGTTATGACTCAAGAAAAGGGGACACAATGGATCTGTAAGGTCGCAGTGATTAACCCCCCTCCCACTCATTCTAAATTCTAAAATTCTACAATAAAATCATATGCTCAAGACTTAGTGACTTTGTCGTCACTTTTTTGCAAGCATATAAGAAATAATATACAGGGTGTTTTTCAAAAAACATGTACCATCTCTCGTGGAGAGATTACTCACGTAAAAATAATATTTATTTTTCATATTAACATAGGTCCGATTCTGCTTTGTTTTATAGCTAAAAAGGGTTAAAGTATTCATCTTTTTTCAATTTGTTATAATTTTTTTCCAAGTGCTTTTAGCCAATTCGAATGAAATTTTGAGGGTAAATATTACTATAAGTGCCACATATTTTAATGGTAAAAAATAATCGGACCTTTGTTGATAGGAAAAATAAATCTTATTTTTACGTGAGGAAATGTTTCCACAAGAGATGGGGTATGCTTTTTAAAACACCCTGTATACCGGGTGGTCCAAACTGTATTCCGGAAACTTCGGCACCATATTCTATAGATTGTATTCTGTAGATTGTACAGGAACAGCATAAATATTTGCGGAAATATTTGTGGGAAATTGTGCGGTAAACTTTGGAGGAAAATCCCGAAATCTAGTAAATAATCTAGTACTCATCTAAGTTGATGGGATTTAATTATTGTTTTATTTAATTGTTTTTCTTGTTTTGTAACTTGTGTAGTAAAATAATAAAAGAACTGTAATTATCATAACTTATTATTCATGTTTTTGCCAAGTGACAATTCTCTCTCTTTGGTATTTCTTTGATTTTTTTTTTAATCCATAATACAAGGCGGTCCGAACTGTATCCGGAAACTTCGGCAGCATATTCTGTAGATAAAAATAGGAAAAAAAGTTCGTATAAATGTATGTCCTAAAATGCTTAGTTTCGGAGATACAGGGTGTGGAAGTTTCATTTTTATTTCGATTTTTTCCAAATAATTTCTGAAGCAACGTCAATATTCGGATGAAAATTGGTGTCTAGGAGTTTTTTGACATGAGAAATTTGAATTTGATGTCAGTATGACTCCTCCTAGTAGAGGGCGCAACCTACATATTTTTTAACTTGTTTGAAGAGTAATAACTTTTCGTCCGTACCTGTATAGAATTACCGAGTAAAGAAATATACATTTACAACGTTTCTTACGTGAAAAATGTGTCTTGGTAAAAATCGCTACGAGTAATGGTTTTCGAGATATTTGGATTCGAAATTATCATTACCTGTCATCATTGACATAAATTAAACATGATGACTAAATAGTTATTAAGCTGCGTATTCATTATCCGAACGAACGAACGAACGAACGAACGAACGAACGAACGAACGAACGAACGAACGAACGAACGAACGAACGAACGAACGAATGTTTGCTAGTGGCAGAGCTAGTGGTATGGACGAGGACCGTACGATAGAACCGCACGAGAAGATCGGACGCGAACGCCTTTGATGTACCGACTCGAAACGGATGGTCGAGCGAACGAACGAACGAACGGCCGCATGCGTTCGGTCCCCGTCCAAATATACCGCACTTTCATTCGTTCGTTCGTTCGTTCGGATAATGAATACGCACCTTTAGACTGAAATCATAAATTTGAAATGATTTTGTGCCAAAAGTTCAACAGAAACTGTTTTATCATCATTTTTTGCAGACAAATTTATGATTAATTTAAAAAAATAAAAATTTCCCAAATTTATTATGTCAGTGAAATAATTACCTACTCAACGTGTTTATTTTTCGTCAATAATGACATGTATTGTCTATTTCCATTCTAAATATCTTAAGAACGGTTGCTCGTAGCGATTTTTATAGAGATATTTATTACGTAAAAAGTCATAGAGATGTATATTTCTTCGCTTGGTAGTTTTATACAGGACGGATAAAAAGTTATTACGCTTCAAAACAGTTAAAATACATGTAGGAGGCGCCCTCTACTATCCTCATGTCAAAAAACTCCCAGACACCAATTTTCATCCAAAAATTGACGTTACTTCAGAAATTATTTAGAAAAAATCGAGATAAAAATGAAACTTCTACACCCTGTATCTCTGAAAGTAAGCATTTTAGGACACACATTTATACGAATTTTTTACCCATTTTTATCTACAGAATATGCTGCCGAAGTTTCCGGATACAGTTCGGACCACCTTGTATTATGGATTTAAAAAAAAATCAAAGAAATACCAAAGAGAGAGAATTGTCCCTTGGCAAAAACATGAATAATAAGTTATGATAATTACAGTTCTTTTATTATTTTATTACACAAGTTACAAAACTAGAAAAACAATGAAATAAAACAATAATTAAATCCCATCAACTTAGATGAGTACTAGATTATTTACTAGATTTCGGGATGTTCCTCCACAGTTTACCGCACAATTTCCCACAAATATTTCCGCAAATATTTATGCTGTTCCTGTACAATCGAGTGGAAGCCGCCATTTTATCTATTTTATAGCAACGCAAACGGATGGCACCTTATCAAAAACGTTTTTTTTATGACCCTATTGTACAAAAATCAGTGGAAATAGAGAATGTTTGTTGATATGATTTATATAAAATAAAGATATCTCTGGTAAATATTGTAAAAGGGCGGTTTCCTATACAATTAACCATTAAAACGTATAAATATAGCTAGTATTTAAATCTGTATACAGGGTGTCAAAAAAATAGTGTATATAACTTTTGTGTGTGATTCTACCGATAAAAATAAAACAGAAAGTTTGCTATGAACATATTATGTCCTAAAATGCTTCCCGAAGACGTTACAGCCCTCGAAAGGTTAAATAAAAATAATATATTTTGTTTATTTTTAACAATACTGGTAAACTGTTTTTCCTGAAATTTGGTCCTCTTACACACATTTTTTGCCAAGCAAATGGCGATTGTAAAAAATTCCGAAACAGCCCTGAAAGGGTACTTTACATTAGGATAGAGAGTACTACTGTTGGTACTTCTTTTATCCTTATACAGGGTGTCCCACTTAAGATGGATACAAGCCAATACCTTGGTTGTTTGTTGAGCAATCTTTTTCATTTTTGGCAGGAGGCTGTATGGCTATAAGACGTACATTTTGCCCAGGGTAAGAAATGCGATACCTCACAGACGTACGTTTTAATGGGGTTTGATATTTTTCGAGTCAAGAGTAAACTACCCTTAGGACAGTATTTATTTCAAATCTGATAAAATATATTGAATCCTCCTTAGCCAAGATACTTAAGTTCTAATTTTGATAAATATTGATACAGGGTGTGTTATTAAAATAAGACATTTTTATTTTTATTATTATTTTTTAAGTACTTATGACTTACGACGCCACTGGATAAACAACTGGTTTGTTATCAATAACCAATTATTATAACCAATTATCAATTAATAATCGATTTAAGTTTTCAGATAGCTTCCATAATAATTAAGATACGATACAAAAAAACTAAATATTTTCAATTTATTTTGTTGACTTTAAAAAATTGTTTTTTAAGTTTGCTAATACAATTGAATAAAATGAGTCACAAAATAATTTAAAGACCCAGTTTTCAATGGAATCTGAAATATGATTTTAATTCGTTTTATTGAGAAATATTTTAAAAAATCCAAATAGTTATTTAAAACAATCTATTAACTTTGAAAAATATGCTCTAAACAAAGATTTATAAAACCATAACGAACTAAAAGTCAACATCTTCGACCAAACTTAAACTGATTATTAATTGATAATTGGATATAATTGGTTATTGATAATAAACCAGTTGTTTATCCAGTGGCGTCGTAGGTACTTAAAAAAATAATAATAAAAAAATGTCTTATTTTAATGACACAGCCTGTATCAATATTTATAAAAATTAGAACTTAAGTATCTTAAGTAAGGAGGATTCAATATAATTTATAAGATTTGAAATAAATACTGTCCTAAGGGTAGTTTACTCTTGACTCGAAAAATATCAAACCCCATTAAAACGTACGTTTATGAGGTATCGCAGGGTATTCCCTGGGCAAAATGTACGTCTTATAGCCATACAGCCTCCTGCCAAAAATGAAAAAGATCGCTCAACAAACAACCAAGATATTGGCTTGTATCCATCTTAAGTGGGACACCCTGTAGATACAGTAATTTCAACAAATGATATAAAAAGCTAGAACTTTTTTACGTCAAACAGGTGCTCTTCCTTTAGTCCGAAAAAGTGAATGGTTTTCAAGATATGTGCGTTTAAAGATTACGATGCATCTATTTTAGATATTAGTGAAATGATAAAATGTAAAGAAATTTTAAATAAATTAATCTTCTGATTTCGCTAATGCTAATAATCGATGCATCGAAATCTTTAAACGAAAATATCTTGAAAACCGTTCACTGTTTCGAACTAAACGAAGAGCACTTTTTTACATAAAAAAATCCTACCTTTAATTTTCATTCATTGAAATTACTGTATCTATAAGGATAAAAGAAGTACCACCAGATTGTACTATCGCCATTCGCTGTGGCATGAAAATGTGTGTAATAGTACCGTAAAATGGGGTGAATAGAAACAGTTTCGTAGGCTATTAGCGATATACCGGTTGATAAAAATGTGGTATTATGTTCCCGAATATTTTAAAACATGGGTCTTTGTTTGTTCTTTGCGTATACATATAATTTGATTTTTGAAAAATATGCATATAAATATTAAATAAAAATAACTTTTGTGTTTCTATTCACCTGCTATTCAGGAGAATAGAAACACACATTGATGTTAAGGTTTTTATCTATTCTATTTCCAACAAGGTGATTAGAAACAGATAATTATTACAAATTTTAGTAGGTTTAGCAATAATTAACAATACATATAATATAACAACTTACATGTACCAGCTTAAGTATTGCTTTAAAAATAAATATTTTATTTATAAAGTTTTCGCGCCATACAAAATAGGTGATAAATCGATCTCACATTTATTGATCAGCTGATTGACAGAAACAGTGCTGCCACAGATAAAAATATAGTTTTTACATTTTATTGTGTATTACCAATGATAGAAAAATTAGATATGTCGACTCTTTTTACTTTGAATATTTTTAATCGTGATTTGATTTTTTTCAGAAATTTTGTTTCTATTCACCCCTATGTTTCTATTCACCCCATTTTACGGTACCTAACTTCAAGAAAAACGGTTTTCTAATGTTTTTAAAAATAAACAAAATAATATATTATTTTTCTTCGGAAAGCATTTTAGCTTTTATTTATTTTAACTTTTTGTTTTATTTTTATCTATAGAATCACCCACCGAAGTTAGATACACTATTTTTTTGACATCCTGTATAAAAAATACAAACTTTTTAAAATTATAAAAATCATACTGCTTTCTACTACTTATACTACTGATCAGTTTTAGTCATTAAATCAATAAAAAATCTTTACTGAATTTGTATTACTTACTTAAAATTTGTTTTAATTGTTGCAAAATATTATTATAAATTTAAAAGTATTATTAATTGACATAACATTATAAAATACTATCTTAATTTAAATATTTTTCTTACTTGTGAAGTATTTTTTGTAGCAGTAACTTCTTCTGAATTATCCACATTATCAGAAATGTACGCTTTATTAGTGTAGGTTCCCTAAAATGTAATAAAATAAATATTAAGAATCTTAAAAATTTCATAAAAAATATAATCACAAAATAATAGATAATAAAAACTGAAAGAAATAAAATAAATTATACAGATACTTACTGTAGACATTCTAACAATTATTAATATTTCAACATTAATAATTTTTTAACACACACAGACCACTTTTCACTTTCAAAAAACTTAAAAAAATTATTAAGGAACTATGTATGATTGCGATGATATGTATGTTGATGTACTGAAACATCTGAGGAAAAAATCTTAGTTACAGTAATTTGAAGGTACAATTTACAATTAGTCAGAACTGGCAGGTCCGTATTTAGCAAAATATATATTTCTTTTAATTCATATCGACACAACAGAAAAATAATACTTTGAAAATGTTATAGTACCACATAGTACTAATACTAAGTAAGTGGTGTAAATAACATATTGTTTCCATAGTTATATATTGTTCGTATAATATACAGGGTGGTCCATCAAAAACGTTCCGCAAGGCATAACGGCCAGGATAATTTTTTTTTTAGAAAATTCAAAAACACGTCAATTTTGTTTGTGTGGGGGACAACTTTTGCCCCAAAAATGATTGTAAAATCTTTGACCCTCTCAGCGGGGGTATCATCCCCCATTTTCTTTTAAATGGAAAGGGGGGTCCAGCGGTACCGCAATGAAAAGGGCTTTCTATACTCTATATTTCCCCGCTTGGTTTTTGAAAATCGGTCGAGTTATTTTGAAAATATGAAGGATTGAAATTTAAAATGTACTTTTTGCAAAAAAAGCATAAATTGAATTCATTAAAAAAATTACCTATTAATAAAGCAAATGCTGAAAATGTTGCACGTCAACCTCCAAACAGTAATACCAACTATTTTCGAACCGTTCTCGAACATTCTGAAGAACTTGCGGGGTAACTTTGCGACAAACATCAATAATTATGTGTCTCCATAGAAAAAAGTCTAAAGGAGTCAAGTCGGGTGACCGGGGAGGCCACTCAATGCACCCCTTCGTCCTATCCACCGACCGGGAAAGTTATTGTTTAAATAATTACGCACATTTTGAGAGTAATGTGGAGGTGCACCGTCTTGTTGAAATATTAGTTCCGCTTCAACGTATCCAGGATTGTTCTCTATGATGTCAGTTAGGGCTGGGTCGATGGTATTTTCCAGTAAATCCAAGTACCGTAAAATGGGGTGAATAGAAACAGTTTCGTAGGCTATTAGCGATATACCGGTTGATAAAAATGTGGTATTATTTTCCCGAATATTTTAAAACATGTTTGTTCTTTGCGTATACATATAATTTGATTTTTGAAAAATATGCATATAGCTATTCGGGAGAATAGAAACACACATTGATGTTAAGGTTTTTATCTATTCTATTTCCAACAAGGTGATTAGAAACAGTAAATTATTACATATTTAAGTAGGTTTAACAATAATTAACAATACATATAATATAACAACTTACATGTACCAGCTTATGTATTACTTTAAAAATAAATATTTTATTTATAAAGTAATCGATCTCACATCTCACATTTATTGATCAGCTGATTGACAGAAACAGTGCTGCAACAGATAAAAGCTTTTTTCGTTTTCCTGTTATTACCGATTCTGAACCGTCCTAGAATTGTGATGCGTCTGCGCAGAAGGAAATATGAAGACATTATTTCATTTGCGCATGCGCTGGAGAGTTCTAGGACGATTCAGAATCGATAAAAATAGGAAAACGAACAGACCGAAAAATATAGTTTTTACTTTTACATTTTATTGTGTATTACCAATGATAGAAAAATTAGATATGTCGACTCCAGAGTGTCGACTCTTTTTACTTTGAATATTTTTAATCGTGATTTGATTTTTTTCAGAAAGTTTGTTTCTATTCCCCACTATGTTTCTATTCCCCCCATTTTACGGTACATATCACCTGTTAGATTTCCAGGAAGAAAAAAAGGACTCACAATATAATTTCCAAAATTACCAGCCTACACGTTCAATTTCTGAAGGTTTTGGGTGTACCAAACCCTAGGGTTGTCCTGAGCACAGTACCGACAGTTGTGCCGATTAACTACACACCGTTCAAAAAGAAAGTACACTCATCCGAAAAACACACATTAAATAGGAAATGATTATCATTCGCCACTCGTTCGCTTATAGTTTCACAAAATTGCAAACGACGATGAAAATAGTCTTCGTTGAGTTCTTGTACCAACTGAATTTTGTACGGGTGGAACTTGTGTGTTTTTTTAATATCCTTTGGACACTTGTACGATTCATGCCGGTCTCATTGGCTAATTTTCTGGTACTCAGCGTACTATCCATGGCAACTTGGCCCAATACGAATACCTCCATAGCTTCATTTACTACAGGATTTTCCCTCTGCCTCTTCACAGCAAGTTCATAACGGAACCAGTTTCGCGAAATTTTGCTACTAACTCGCGAACAATTTTGCCATAAAATTAAAATTTTAAAATAAAGTTCGATTATTTCCACTCTTTCTGCAAGTGGTACACCATAATTGTTAAAAAGTTTAACCATATTGAGAAGAACTTCAACCGTTTCAACGCACAAGTCACAGAACAGCTATAGCAACTATCGCAGCTGATCGTTCAACCTTCTGGCAAGTAAAAAAATGCGTAAACATCTAGAAATAAAAAAAAAACAGCAAATTGGTCGAAGGAATTTATCCTTATCATTTACTCTGATAAATGTTTAAATAAACTTTTTAAATTTCAATCCGAGATTTTTTCGAAAAAAGAGAGAATTTTCTGAAAAAAATACCCTGGCCGTCATGCCTTGCGGAACTTTTTCGATATGCCACCCTGTATATATAAGTGGTATAATATAATTTAAATTATAAAAAGAAATCATATTTTTACACCATATTTCATTTAATATTGATAGGTTAGTTAAATTCCAATACAATAAAAAATGTTACAAATCAAAAACATAATAATTTTTAACATCAGATTTTATTGGTATATACTTAAAAAAAAATATTTAAACAAATTAAATATGTTTTTATATGCGCGTTTTTTGCATATATTGTTTTGTTCATACAGCCCATAATATTTTCTACAATTTATATTATTTAACACAAATTCAAATAATCTAAGAATATACTAATATTTCAAGCCATTTTTTTTCCAGAAAATTTCAATTTAAAATCTTTAAACCTAAACTATTCTAATAATAAAAGTTTTTAATAAAAAAAGTTTTTCTTTTAAATTATGCGAACTTTATTTTTAATAAGGATCTGTTCACCTAATAATAATTAAATCATATAAACTGTAATTATACGAGACTATAAAAGTTAATCTCAGAATTCCCTCAAAATAACCGCATTTTGTCGGATATGAAAATATGTCACACACCTTGAAAAACTTTCCTCAGTATATTTTCCAGATTTATATCTGCTTCTTATCTAAACAAAACACATCAATAAACATGATTTATTTCAATAAAATTTAAAAAACAAATTCTCTTTAGACCGATAAAAATAAAATCGTCTTTATCTCCATCTATTAGCCAGTAGATCAACCGAAGAAAGGTAGAATTCTTTAAAACTCTTACTTTTTTGACAAAACTGTCAAATGAAATGAGGTTATATTTATATTTTTATTTTGAATTTTGATGTGGCATAATTTTAATCAAAGTTTTCATATTGTTTAGTAAATTTGACGACTGTTTTCACAAATATTATTACTAGTCAATACAGATTATGTCACTAAATGCAAATGCACCTACGAAATTTCTGTGTTTTGTTTAGTTTTAGACGACTACATTCCATAAAAAACATCCCCAGAGGTTTGTATAAACAAAGGTATTGATAATGGTTATGTAACATTACACGATTATTAGAATTTTATCGTCTAATATTTCAGTTATTGCGTTCAACTTCGAACATTAGTAAAAATGAGCTGTGCTGCGAACGTTTCTGATGTGTTTGAAGGCAAAATCGACAGATATGAAGGGGTAACAATACATTCAGATAAAGAAACATGTAGCCTCGAAGAATTTAGTGTTAAACTCAAAAGTAATTACGAAAATGTTTGTAAATTAATGTATTATTAAACAAGAAAGCAATTTATTTGGTTTTAGGATCACTAGAAGCATGGATATCTAGTGGTAAAAGGGGTGTATGGTTTAGAGTACATTTAAATCAATGTGATTGGGTTCCGATTTTAGTGAAAGTATTTAACTGTTGTTAGCAAACGTAGTTATTCTTTATATAAATTTATTAGTTTTAGAATGGATTTAAATATCACCACGCAAAGGGAGATTACGTTATGCTGTATCACTGGTTGCCTAAGCACGAGACCAATAACGTACCAAATTATGCACATACGATGGTCGGTGTTGGTGGTGTAGTTGTTAACGATAAAGACCAGCTTCTTGTTGTACAAGAGAAGCATTTTTATAAACTTCCCATGTGGAAATTACCGGGAGGTTACGTAGAGCCAGGTATTTATTTATTTTTTATGTTTGTGTGTTTTTTTTCAGTATATTATAAATAATGATTTTAGGAGAAAATTTACTTGATGCGGCTGCAAGGGAAGTTTTTGAAGAAACTGGCATAAACACCGAATTTGAGTCACTTCTAACCATAAGGCAGACGCACAATGGCATGTTTGAATGTACTGACTTGTATATTGTTATGAATCTTAGGGCTTTGAATACTGATATAAAGAAATGTGAAATGGAGATTGCCGAATGCAGGTGGATGGATATTGAGGAATATCTAAGTCATCCGAATGTACATGATCTAAATAGGTTGAATTTTATTTGAGAAATATAACTGAAAGTGTAAAATTTAAAAAATCATTTGCAGGTTTTTTGTTGAAAAAATGTTGCATCACAGGAAACACAATATTAAGATTGACTGTCATCATGGTACCCATCAGCTATTGAAAAGGCCATATACTGTATATTATGCCTCGAAAATAGAAGAAGAATTATTACATGATGACCAAAATAGTTAAAAATTGTTAAATTTTTTTGTTATTATTATGTAAAATAAAGGTTTATTGTTAAGCTCTTTTTATTAAAAAAATCCAACAATCATTTTCCTAGTAGTTAGAATCGTTTTCTGCGAAACAGCAACTGGGGTTTCCAAAATGTTTCCAAAAAGGATAAATTCCTTCGACCAATTTGCCGTTTTTTCTTATTTTATTTTTCAACATAGTCCCCTTGTAACTCTACACACTTTTCCCAGCGATGCTCCCATCTCTGTAACCCGTCCAAATAGTACTCGGCGTTTTTCTCTACAAAATAGTGGTTCACGAAGATGATTGCCTCTTCATTTGACGAAAATCTCTGTCCTCCCAGCGCAATTTTTAAATGAGGGAACAAAAAGAAGTCGCTAGGGGCTAGATCTGGTGAGTAAGGCGGATGGTCAAACAGTTCAAACCGTAATTCGTGGATTTTCGCCATGGCAACCGCTGAGGTGTGAGACGGTGCGTTATCTTGGTGAAACAGGATTTTCTTTTTCTATAAATGTGGCCGTTTTTCCGTAAGTTCTGCTTTTAGCTTGTCAAGTAATGATGCGTAGTATGCTCCTGTGATGGTTTTTCCTGTTTGAAGATAATCAATTAAAATAACTCCATGACTATCCCAAAAAACAGTCGCCATCACTTTCCCAGCCGAAATAACAGTTTTTGCTTTTTTTGGAGCCGGTTCTCCCTTTGCCGTCCACTGTTTGGACTGTATTTTTGTTTCTGGTGTATAGTCTGTATAGTGGTGTATCCAAGTTTCTTCTACAGTAATTAATCGACGCAAAACTCGGATTTATTGGGCCTAAACTGCGCTAACATAGCGTTGGAAATGTTCATACGAACACGCTTTTGGTCTAACGTGAGCAAACGCGGTACCCAAGGCGCAGACAGCTTTCTCATGCCTAAATCTTGATTTAATATGTGACAAACACGTTCTTTTGATATGTTCATAACCTCTGCTATCTCTCTCACTTTAATTCGGCGGTCGTCTAGCACCATTTGGTGAACTTTGGCGATGTTAACGTCGGTAGTTGCAGTTTTTGGACGTCCCGAACGTTCATCGTCTCCCAAGCTTTTACGGCAACCTTTAAATTCAGCTGCCCAAAATTTCACTGTGGTAAATGATGGTGCAGAGTCCCCATACACAGAATCCAACTCATGTTTAATTCATATACAAACTAAAATATATGGGAAACTGAAATTGAGATCTTTGAAAGGACTTTTTCACCGCAACCAGTTATACACAAATTTGTTAGTTCCGTGACGAACCACCGGTCGCGCTTAAGGCGAAGTTTTTTTGGCACTTCAAATCAAATCAAGTCAGTTCTAATCAAATAATATGCACCGTCAAAAATCGAAAAAAGTTTTACTGAAATTTTAGTGATTGTTTAAGCTTTTTATTAAAAATAATGATGGAATCAGGCCGTAAACCCTTTCACGAGCCCTTTCATAAGTATGTTGTGCCGGCGTCGGCGTGCATGGATTTGTTTTCCAAAAGACATACATTCTCGAAGAACGATCCTACATTATTCCAAAAGTGATATCAAGTGCGAAACCTTAAAATGGAAAATACAACCCAGCAAGATATTTAAAAGAAGAACTTATTTATATGAAGAAGTTAAGTAGAGCAGTGCCGTGCGAGCTACGTCTGAAGAAGAAATTTTATTTATTGTATAATTTGTATTATTTCCTTTTTTTATAAAGTTATTACTAATAATTATTATTAAACATATCCAGTTAATTATTTTTATTTTATTAACTATAGCTGTTTTTTCTATCTATTTCATATTTTTTGATGAGGATAAGTTAATTCTAAATGAAACGCCACCTGCTTGAGAACAATACAATATAATGGAGTGATGTAGCATTTAGAGTAACTTATTCTTATTAAAAAATAAGAAATAGAAGAAAAATTACCTATTTCTGTACAAAAAAAATAAATTACGTTCCAAAAAATTGATAATAGATGGCGCTAGAGTGGACAAAACAACATAGTTACCTGTAGTTAAAATGTAAAGTTTCCTGTAAAATAAAATAAAATTATATCATAAGTTCTGTAACGACCCGATGCATGGCGCCACTGAATTCTCCAACAGACGGTATCATTTCAGTTTCCTACATATTTTAGTTTGTATATGTTAACCAATTGACAGCTAAGGTGGCTGAATTGAAAAAAACATGTAGTATACAGGGTGTGAATGAAGACTTGAACCCACTGTAACCAAGAAACAAGTCAGAATCTATCTATGTTGATATAAAAAATAAATCTTATTTTTAAGTGAGAAATCTGCCCACGAGAGATGACACATGTTTTTTGAAACACACCGTATAAATTAGAAAAACCTGGCTCCTCAAAAAATTGCAGAAATTCCATTCAAACATTGGAATTGCGTATGAAATAAAATAATAATAATAATTTAACATAATATATATGTACATTTCACTTGAGTGTAGATAATATTTAAGTGATAAGAGTGTAGATAGATATTTTAGTTTGTATATGGTTTAATTTGTGTCGGCGTATTGCCTTTCAAAACCAGATATTTAATGACAGCTCGATACTCGATTTTGTATATTTTCACAAAAACACTGACATCAACTCGCTCAAACGACTGTTACATAACCACTGCGCATCCAAAATGGCTGAAACTTTGGTGAATAATTGTCAACAGATGAACAATGAAAATTCACTAGCTTTTATCTGCTTTTATCTACGAGTGCTGCCATCTTCACGTTGAGGTAGGAAACTTTTCAGACCATCCTCGTAGAAGAAGACCAAACTTAAGATGGGACTATGATATCAAGAAATTAGCAGGGATAACTTGGGCTCGCAAATCCAACAATAGACAATAAGGAGGTTATACCAAGAACAGTTAACATGGTTATACCTACTATAATTGGAAATGTTTGCTGGGGATAATGATGATGATATATGGTAGATGCGACTTTCCCCTACTTGGTTTTCATATACTGTCTGAAAAAAAGAGGTAGATATAGAAATAAAACACATTTTTACTTTGCTACCAACAATTTGACAATGATATATTTAAGTAGATAATCTTATACATCAAATTTAAACGAATTCAATAGTATTTGTCGTTTTTTTTTCTATCCGTATTAATCGATATAATGTATACATTTTCTTTTAATAATTTGAATATAAGAATACAATGCTTAACTTTTAATAGACACATCATAAAATATATATATTTTATATATAATTTATCAACTAAAAAACTCGTCAAAGTTTTTACTACTATCACATTTTTGTTTTGGATCGCTCCAAGATTCGTTTCAAACTATTTTATTATACCAAATGCATCAAAAGATATTCGTATTATTGTTTTTTATTCATTTGATCTTTATATCAAGTATATGCTCGGTTGTTTTCTTATAATTATGAAATTAATAAGTGCATTTTTAGGACATTGTTTTAAACACAATCCACATATAGACCCAAGTAGCATTTTCACGACTTGCGACCACATGTTTACTAAACACAACGCTGGATTAGTTACAAAAAATAGTTAGCTCCGTACCTTGGGTATTAAAATAAATGTAAACGTTGTTGTAACGTTGTGCCGACGTTGAACTAGTACTACAACAAAGTAAAAGCTTCTGCGACGTCGAATAAACGTTGTCTTGTAAAATTTTTTGCTTAAGTGATCTAGGTGATTCGGACAACGTAGTTACAATGTTGGGCAATAAAGAGTTTTCCGACGTCACTTTCAGGACCTATTCCAACGTTATGCAAACGTCGTCTGTTTTACTAATTCCAACGTTGTTTAGATTTCCTTATTCTTACGTTGGTAGGACGTCGAGCCACTACCTTTTTGCAACTGTTTTGAACCATAACCAGTTCAATGCTGTTTTTGTCTTTATAAAAAAAACTCAATTAAAATGGGACATAAGAAAGGTACATATAAAACTAAAATTTAAATATACATCGACATATTACGGCTACTTTATCCACTCCCTCGTTTGTTTAGGATATAGAGGGCGGCACAAGCTAGACTCTAGGATGACTAAATTAGATAATCTTGCGACTAGTATACTACCTGTTAAGGCTGAACTGCGACTTTATTAGTCCAGTATGCGACTACTCGGTCTACTCCATCTTAATCTCCAAAACAACAAAGTAAAAGCCGCCATGTTGTTGAATAAGAAAATGTTTCGTTCCTAAAATGGCAATTCCTGCTTTTTGAATAAATTAACTTGAAATATTTGACCATAAACAATACGCGGAAACAATTTTTTCGACTGCGAATAAATTATTCTCATTTTACTAAAAAAAAATCAAGAAATTTTTTAAAACTTCTTTAATTTTAAGGCCCATTGGTATTTTTCAAAGTAGAAACAATACATTTATCAATAAAGTTGTTTGCGTTTAACTTTTTTGCCTTGGGTAACGAGTTACAGAGTCGGTTAAAGTGTTTCAATAATTATGATCTTCAAACATCCTCCACACTTAAATACTTTTGTTTTGTTTTCCTTTACCGCCATCTGGCATATGTCTCTAACTAAATCATAAAAATAATATTTTTACTATAATTATCCCAATTTAGGATAAAACGCGACTTAGACGCCATATTATTATAGTTTTGTATTTCTGTGAATTAGGATTTTAAACAACGTTGCAGTTTGTACTAAATTAGGCTGCTAGCCAACGTCGGTATCCAACGTCGTTTCGACCCAAAAATTATTCTCCAAACTAGTGCACGAGGTTGGGCCGACGTTGCGCCCCGACGTTTGGTCGCGTGACACAACGTTGTCCCGACGTCCAAATGCTGCTTGGGGAACCAAAATGCTACATAGAGTCCCGAATTTCGTAGATTCTCATATGTATATCTGTGCTCAAGACACAACATGTAATTCAGGTGACGTCACGATGTCCATAAAGCACGTTGGTTATATGTGTCGTGGTTTCAAGTAACAGAATTGACATTTTATTTCATGCAGTGACTTTAACAATAAAAAAAATAGATTATCGAGACTAGGCTTGTATACTCTTACCCAAATGGGTAAAACAAGTTA